GGGCCTCCCCGGGGAGACCCCAACGATCCCGAAGTCCGAGCAGCTCGAAAGCAATATGCGACCGACGTGAAGTCCGGTTATCAAACCGTGTACTCGGCGGGAGCAGCTGTTATTTACGAAGAAATCAAAGGGAAGGGCATTTTGCCAGATCCCAAGCCACTTCGGGCGCCTGAAGAAAAACTGGACAAATCCCGATACTGCGATTTTCACAAGTCGCCCGGGCACAACACGGATGAATGTTTGAGTTTGTTGGCCGCATTGTTACGCTTAATCGGCCACCCGCAGCTTAGGAAATTTTATCGTAACACTGATTCCCAGAGGCGAGGTCCTGGACGTCAGATTGAATCCTTTGATGATGAAGATGACGAAGAAGACCGAGGTGCAATGACAAAACGCATCCGACAGGGGGATAAAGAAGTATTCATGTTTACCTCGAAAACCTCCGGTTCTGCCCCTGATGGAATTTCCCGAGGACGTAAGCGAGATAGATCTCCTGAACCAATGCAAATCACTGTCCATCGAGTCAATACCAACAACTCCCGGAGCACGTTGTCCCGCCGACAGGTTAAGGCATATGCCCGACAAGCTTACAACTCCGGTAAACAGGTTTACACCACCGATTTGAGAGATGTTCTCAACAATCGGAATTGCCCAATAACCTTCAATATGGAGGACGCGAATCACTTCGCTCATCCTCATTCTGACGCCTTGGTCATTACCGTTCCGATATGTGGCATCCCGGTTCATCGTGTCATGGTGGACACTGGGGCCTATTCAAGCATTTTGATGCTGAAGGCTTTTAACAAGATGGGTCTCGACCCCGCCGAGATCAGACCTTGCAAAGATCAAATCCAGGGGTTTAATGGCAGTATATCAAAACCCCTCGGAGAAATCACTTTGCCCGTAAGATTTGGTACCTCGGAGAATGTCACCAAACTCGTTATGGAGACTTTTAAAGTTATGGATTTTAATAACGAATACAACGCCATCATTGGCAGAACGGCGTTGTACAAACTTCGGGCTGCAGTCTCTATCTTCCACTACGCGTTAAAGTTTCCAACAACCCGAGGAGAAGGAACCCACTTCGGAGATCAAATAGAAGCTCGACAACTTGTAACGTTCATCCCTTCTCATGGAGTTCACTCAACTTCAACGAGTAACCATGAAGCCTCCCCACAATATCACCATCCGAATGATACGATGACCG